CAGGGGAGGGAATTCCAGGTTTTGATGCAGGGGAGGGAATTCCAGGTTTTGATGCAGGGGAGGGAATTCCAGGTTTTGATGCAGGGGGGATCCCAGGTTTTGATGCAGGGGGGATCCCAGGTTTTGATGCAGGGGGGATCCCAGGTTTTGATGCAGGGGAGGGAATTCCAGGTTTTGATCCAGGGGGGATCCCAGATTTTGATCCAGGGGAGGGAATTCCAGGTTTTGATCCAGGGGAGGGAATTCTAGATTTTGATCCAGGGGAGGGAATTCCAGGTTTTGATCCAGGGGAGGGAATTCTAGATTTTGATCCAGGGGAAGGAATTCCAGGTTTTGATGCAGGGGGGATCCCAGGTTTTGATGCAGGGGAGGGAATTCCAGGATTTGATCCCAGGGCAGGGAATTCCAGGTTTTGATGCAGGGCAGGGAATTCCAGGTTTTAGATCCCGGGGCAGGGAATCCCAGGATTTGATCCCGGGGCAGGGAATCCCAGGATTTGATCCTGGGGCAGGGAATCCCAGGTTTTGATCCAGGGGAGGGAATTCCAGGATTTGATCCCGGGGCAGGGAATCCCAGGATTTGATCCCGGGGCAGGGAATCCCAGGATTTGATCCCGGGGCAGGGAATCCCAGGTTTTGATGCAGGGGAGGGAATCCCAGGATTTGATCCCGGGGCAGGGAATCCCAGGATTTGATCCCGGGGGATTCCGGGACTCACTTGGGCAGCGGGAGCTCGGGAATGTGGTCGATCCGGACCAGCTGCCGGATGCGGAAGCGGCAAAGGTGCTGCAGGGATTTGACGTTGCTGAACCTGGAGACGGGATACAGGAGCTGGACAGGCGTCGGAGGGAGACCTTTCCGGGGCAAAAAAAGGAGATTTTGGGCACCAGGGTTAGGCAGGAGTAGATTCCCGGGCTCACCTGGAAAATCCCGTTCCCAGTTCCCTGGACAATCCCATTCCCAGGCTCGTCTGGATCCCTGGACAATCGCATTCCCTGGATCCCTGGATATCCTATTCCCTGAATCCCTGGACAATCCCATTCCCAG